CGTGTACTCTAAACCGAGGGCCACAATTTAACTTGCATTACTATAAATACCCCCTCCCAAACTCCCATTGTATAACTAATGCAATATTCAATATAAGAACAACTACTACACATTATACTCTCTTGAAATACAATCGAGTTTACATACAAGTTCAACAAGTCGCGATTGGTAATTATTGTATAATCGTTCTACAAATGCATTGTCGGATTTCGAACATTGTCGTCCCTCACCTTTGAGCTACTCCCAAGTCCCCTTTTTAAACTGTTCGAGACCCTTTTGTGTCTTAACGTGTTAGACTTTTACTTACATGTGCGCAAATGGGTATGGTATCTGTTGTCTGCATGGCCCTAACCGAAAACGAGATCAACATAACATGTTTTAGCTAATAATTGGACAACCTAACAAGTTAAACTGCGAACATTTTTTCTTTTTTTGGTCTTTTCTTTATCCTTTAATATTTAGTTCATAGATAGGCATAATAATCATTTTTAAAAAATGACTTTTTAAGATTAGCAATTTTTTTCTGTTGGTCCAAAAAAGTGAAGGCTCACCCTAAAAGGAGGAGATTCCGAAGTTTACCCGAAAAGTTGATAATAGACAGCCCACCCCCACCAAAAAAATATGGCTAAAAAAAAAAAAAAAAAAACTATGAAACTTGTAGCATCAACTTGTCAAACATAACCTTGAAAAGGCGATAGCAAGGGTGTCACCCACTAAAGCTTTGGTTCATCCCGAGTTCAAACTCCTAAAGCTGTAGACTTCAGGATTTAGTCACTGTATGGTGGATGTCTGGATATTAAAAAAAAAAAAAAGAAAAAAAAAGAAGAAAAGGTAAGCATATAGCTCTCAATCTAGAGAATATTTCAATAAGGCAAAGTCTCCCTTAATCGTTCTTCAATCTTTTGCGTCTTTCTTCAAGGAACCAATCTCACATGATTAGATAAGTTGGGGAGTTGGAGGAGTCGATTTCACACCTGATGAAAGATTGGGACTCCGAGCCTAACTGGGGTTTTCTCAATTATGATTTTAATGAATTTTATAAGATTATAAATTTTAATGAGTTTTGTGAATTTGAATAGGTTCTCACAAATTTCATAAGTTTTGTGGGTTTGATTATATTCTCACAAATTTCATAAGAATCTCATCAAATATGGTGAAATTTCAAAAGATTTGCTTATATGTATTTTTAAGCTTGAAATCTATTCAAAATCTTTTAAAATCTTTCTATTAATGAAATCTTTATAAATCCGCTAATTAATGAGGATACCTAAATTTTAAAGGGTTTCATTAAAATTTCAATTGAGGGCATCAAAATTTTAATGGATTTTATTAAAATCCAACAAAATCTCAATTGAAGACACCTAAATATAGAATAACTTTTAAAATCTATCACAATCTGAATTGAGGACACCCTGTGACATATTTGCCTCCAACCTCTCTTTTTTCAACATTCCAGACCAACCTTTGATTTATTGGCCGCATCAGTCTAGATGGTTGGTTTTCATCCAATACCTCTATTAATTCTGTCATTTGCCTTGCACGCAAAAATAATAGAAGGTTGAAATTTTCATTCCCCTACGATGACTTTATTTTTAATTAAAATAAACCCAAAATGAAATAAAAAGTTATGAAGCAGAAAAGGAAAAAAGGATGGACTTAAGACACGTTTTGAAATTTTTCTTAACCCCTCTATTAACATAAATTTCTCATTTTACCCTTTCTTCTTTGGTTAAATATAAATTATATTTAGTTCCTTATTTATCTTTTTGTGCTAATATGTTACCTAGTGAAAGCCAATACAAAATTTATTAATTTTTTTTGGTTCTTTCTATTAATGGTAGAAATCTTACATAGGTTGTATATGGAAATTTCTGTCGCAATTTAACTTTCTCAAAATCGAATTTCTAAATGTTTCCAAGTTGTTATAGGACTTTAAAAGTCATTAGAGTTGATGTTGAACCGTCACCTACTGTTTTAAAAGTAAATAGACTTGATGAACTTATTGAATGATTATCTGATCCCTCATTGTAATTACCATGTCCAATGAAATTGCCTTTCAGTTGCAAAATTTTCGGCCCTTGGTGTTCAATTTTGCTCATGAATTTGGAAAGATCGTGTGTGTTTTCACTAATATAGACAACATTAGAAAAATGAAAGTCTAGAAAAATAAAAACCTCACAAAAAATGATACAATTGACCAATAAATATGGTGTCAACGAGACGAGATGAGCCAACTTGCCAACCCAAGCTTGGGGCTCAGCATTGTCTCACCACAAAAAAGGTTCGAGCTTTTTTGGGTTTGATTCGAGCTATGACTTGGCTCGTCCCCAAAAAAATGGAGCTTGGTAATAAAGATATCGATGAATCCAAACCTTTAGATAGATCAATTTGTAAAAGTTCACCGGGTCTTGGCACTGCATTTATAGGGGCCAAGCACTGGAGCTTGCCCAATATAAGAAATCTATGGGCCTAACTGGGGCCGAAGTGTAGATTCAACCACTCTAGTTGGGCCAATCCTATAAAATTTCATTAAAATGTTGTCTTTGTTTAAAAAGAAATTTTAACGTGCTACCCGGCGAACCCTATATTTTATTGGGCCTATAGGCTAGACCTTGAAAAGGTGAAAATTACATTACATCCTACTTTTAAAGATCAATATTCTTAAATTAGGACGAAGGTTTTATTATTCAAAAATCAGATATTTCATGTCTAAATATAAAATATTATAATACAAATTTCATCACAAACCCTAATTAATTTTCCCTATCCCCTTCTCTCTCTATCCCTCACTTATCTCTTCTCTCAAGAAGATGCAACTTTCGTTGTCGCTGTGAAGACGCCGTCGCCGCCACCACCGTTGCGAAGATGCTCACAACCACGCTTAAGGTACCATCGCCAGTGTTGGGCTGTGATGCCATTTGATCTAGTCCAACTGTTAGGCAATGATGAAAAGGCCCAAATTGGATTTATTACTTGGTCCATTAAATATATACCTAGAAGGCCCACTTAACCGAGCCCAATATCCAGCCCACACACCATTAGTCGCTCTTGGACCGTTGGATTGACCCGCTGATCAACGGTTGATGATATTTACTATAAATACCCTCCTTACTCCCTGTTTGGCCATTGGATCGTCACTTTCTGTTTTTCGTTTTCTCTCTGCCGTTTGGAACCTTCGAGTTCCTTTGTCTGTGTGACCCTTCTTTCTCTTCTTTGTGAGGTTCCTGGTTGATTATTTTTGTGATAATCGTGTTCTTGTGTGATTCTCCTTTGTGTGAGTAATCAACCGAAGGTAGGCAGTTTGATTTCTTGAGTCCAGTGTAGTGACCTTGGTGTGTTTGGGTTGTGAGGGTTCGTTTTGAGTCTCGGTGCCTCTGTGATGGTAAATGGGTGTGGTCTGAGCCTTCGATTGAAAGATCTAAGCCTTGATGTTGTGATTTAGGGTTTATGGTGTAATCTGCGATTCTATGATTTCATCTATGTTTTCTTGGATTCAGTTTGTAATAGCCAGTAAAGTCATCCCTATCGACATTGAATTCTCGGTTGCATAGTGGCCCTTTTTAGAGTCAGTACAAAGCAAAGCTGTGTAGCAATGACCATTGCACATGGTGGGTTTTGTTAGTGGTGGTAGTGGTCAGGTGGTCGTGGCAACGACAGTGAAGTAGATCACAGCTGCTATAGGCGTAAATCGCGTTGGTGGTGATTTTTTTTTGGTTATTGGATCTGCGTTGGCGATTTTTTTATGGTGTTGGGAATGATTTTTGTTGTTGTTGGTGGTGGTAGTAGTGATGGTATGGCGGCGACGACGATGGAACGGGACGAATAGTGCGATGGTGTGGTGAGATATTGGTGGTGACGACGATGGTGTTTTTCTACGATGTGTTGATTTGTTTGTGGGGCTGGTGGTGGTTCTAGGCTTCTAGTGACGACGATTTTGGGGGCAATGCGGTTGGTGACAGTGTTGAGGCGGTGGTCAGAATGATTTGGTTAACTGTGATTATTAAATTGGTTAATCTGTAATCAATAAATAATATGTGACCAATGAAAAAGATAAATTGTGACCAAGAGATAATGTGTGACCTAAAAGATTGTTAATTTGTGACCTAAAATTTGATAATTTGTGACTGTTTAATAAATTGCAACTCATAGTATTTGTGATCAATAAATAAATTGTGACTTATAAATTTTTGATTTGTGATCGATAAAAAGATTGTGACATATAAAATTTTTGAATTGTGAGTATAAAATAATTTGCGACATATAAAAAATTTGATTTGTGAAATATATGACTAACTAAATTGTTAATTTGTAATCGATTGTATAGATATATGGCATTATTATATTTAAATAATATTTATTATAATTAATTAATTAAATCATAAATAAATTTTAATAAATATTCGATTTTTAAAATTTAAAATTTTTGTTCTTAATTTTTAAATGAATGATACTTAACTTTTTAATAACGAATTTTCTCTCTTGAAAAATTGGATGGCCTTGCCTGGACCATATAGGGATGTCAACGAGTCGAGTTGAGTCAATTCGCAAGTCAAAATTCAAGGTTCGGACTCGACTCGAGTGAAATGAAAATGGGCTTTTTTCGAACCCGAGCTGAGCCGAGAAAATAATAAGGTTCAGCCCGAGTTGAAAGCTCGGCTTAGTTCGGGGCTTAACGAGCCGAGTTAGCTCGATTTTTTCTCTTTCTCTTTTTATTAATCACTTTTTTTCTTTAATTTTAAAGGCTCGAGCTCGCGCTAGCGAGCCACGCGAATCGGCTCAAAACCTTATCACCGAGTTTGAGCTGGGTTCTATCAAGCCTCGAGCTGGTCTGGCTCGAACCTTTTCTGAGCATAGTCACTGACGGTCCGAGTCGGTGGGCTCGATTGACATTGCTAGGGCCATATGAATGGGCCGGACCAGTGGGGCCCATCAACATCTCTAATTCACAGGGATAAAATTGACATTTCCATATCCAAGCAAAACACATAAGAAACCCTAGCTCCTGTCTACTTTATATTTGTTGGGGCTTTGTCACTTCATCATATTCCCCAATCGTCCGGCGGCCGAGAACCTCATCACAACCACTGCTCCGCTATGGTCTCTATTTAACTGCTGTCATTCTCTCTCTACATTTGCTTCAAACATGCATATATGAATTTCAGCGCATTAGTGATTCTCCGTCTGTGTTTAAATGTGTGAAACAGGCGTCAGAGAAGAAGCTGTCTAATCCGGTGAGAGAGATCAAAGTACAGAAGCTTGTCCTCAACATCTCCGTTGGCGAGAGTGGAGATCGTCTTACCAGAGCCGCTAGGGTATAATACCGTCCCCACGACAATTTTATTTATTGAATATTTTGGCATTCGAGTTCAATTTGTTTTTATTTTTTATTTTTTCAGATTTTAGAGCAACTCAGTGGCCAATCTCTTTTTTTCTCTAAGGGTAAGTTTCTCAAATTCTGAATCTACTTTGTAGGGGTTGCTGAAATGAAATTCTATTATCTGTAGTAGCTTTACTGTCTGCGAAGTACTATTCTTGTTTACCACGTTTTGCAAGTCATATGGGAATGATTTATGTTAGTAATTGATAATAAACTGCTTTGCTTTATGACTTGATGATAGATTATGAATTATGAGATCGATAACTTTGCAAATTTTCGTTAATGGTAGCTCTAAAAATGAAATAGGGCTTCTATTTCTCAATTGTGTTGGATCTCGCTTCATTTAGAAATATTAAGCACTCTTTTATTGTAAATGGATATAATTTTAAAATTTTGCTTTAACATGATGCAATTTGTAGCTTTAAGATCTGCAAAGTACTATTCTTGTTTACCATATTGTGAAAGTCATAATCGAATGGGTATATTAGTAACTGATTAAGTACTGTTCTGTTCTTTGTTAGATTATGATACTGTAACTTTGTAAATTTTCCTTAGTTGGTAGCTCTGAAAATGAAATCTGGCTAGAAGTTCTCTCAATTGTGTAGAGCAACCTCAACAGTCCCTTGACTGAGGTTGGTAATTAACATGTATATTATAATTGGGATCCACTATTTAATGGGAACCCAGGCATATACATGTCAATTTAATAGTGGCAGGTAGCATTAAGTTTCCATGTTTTGGGAATATTAGAAATTTTCTTGGCGTGTAGAGCACAAAGCCTTTAGTTAAGCTCATTCAATGATCCTGATTTGTATCATGATGATAAATAGATTTAGGTTAACAAGTAAGAAAATGAATATGACATGCAAGAGATTACCATATTATCTTACAAATATATGAAGCATGATTACAAATTATCTCTTTAATTTCTTGTCATAATTGTTAATTAAGTTCAGAAATTTTCACTGCAACTTGCAGCTGACTGTTGCTGAGGCATCCCAGGAAATAAGTTTAAAGATGGAAGGGTTTAGGAAGCTGCAGAAGTAACATATTGCAGTGCATTGTGCATTGAAAAAACCCATGCCATCAAACTTCCCAGATAGAAAAGCAAGGAAAGAGTTAGCTAAGCTGCCAACATTTCTAGGACAGAGCATTCAGAAAAACATAAAACCCAGTCTTAAGAATTCTTGAAGTTCAAAATCAGGACGCAATGATTGGGAGCACTGATGAACGAACCACGAGTTCATCCGACTGTTGGAAAATCATTCACATTCCAGACAAGCCTCCCATTCCTCCTGACAACCAACCCACCATCAATGTGCATGCTGCTGCAATTGAACCTCGACATGCCAATACTATAGTAAGGAAGTTAAATCAGATTGCGCCGCTAGAAAATCTCCGTCATGTGAAGCGTGTGCACAAGAGGTGTATGGGTGGAGGAAAATTTGAATTGTTTGTGGTTTTATGTATGGCTTTGGAAAATGATGGCAAGTGCAACCATATGCCAGAGGAAGTTCTTCAGCTCGTAAATTTGTACAATTTAAGTACTTTCATCACAAAAGTATGCAGATATGCTGCATCAACAAAGGAAGAATGGGAAGGACAATGCAAGCTATGGCCAACTTCTTTCCATCCACCCACCTACAATATTGATGGAATAACTGGATTTAGTGAGGAGGATTCACAGTCAATTTTCCGCTTCATGAAGTTTGCAGTTGGTTTGGCAAAATCTGGTATTGGCTCAGTTGTCAATGCTGCTGTAATTGTGGATCCTTCAACGATGCAAGTTATTGCAAGCTCACGAGACCAAGTCCTGTCTTGTAATACTCCCATAAAAAGGAGCAATGGAGAAACATGTTGCTCAAGGCTTCCAGAAGCAATTCAACATGACACCATTGAAACAGAAGATCGCCCATCCTTGCTTTCAAAATGTTTGTCCATTAATGCGCTTACATATAGTCGTGTTTCTTGTTTAAATCCTTGGAGCTGGCTTGAACAAAAATTACATGCAAGTTCTGGTTCTTGGCATCCTTTACAACATGCAGCAATTGTTGCAATTGAAAATTCTGCTGCGAGGGACAGGCATCTTTTTTCGGGAGATGAACGCATAGCAGATGAATTTGTTCATGAGGACTATAAGATGTCGTCTCCAACATGTTCTCTGAAAAGACAAAAGATCAACCTTGTAAATGTTAACGATGATGAGAATGTGAAATTCCAGAAAAATGATCTTCGTTTCGACTCAACCAGACCTTATTTATGCACTGGTTATGACATTTACCTTGTGTGGGAGCCATGCACAATGTGTGCAATGGCACTCGTGCATCAACGAATTAGACGTATATTTTATGCATTTCCGAATTCAAGTGACGGTGCTCTGGGAAGTGTTCACAGGTTACAGGGGGAGAAAAGCTTGAACCATCATTATGCTGTTTTTAGGGTCTTGATTCCTGAAGATGTCCTAAAAAGTGAAGCATTATTTGCAATAGGTGCTGAGAATTGTTAAACTGCAGTTCAGGTTTTCTAGTTGTTCCTAGAGTTTTAGGAAAGTGAATATTTTTTTGCTGGGAAGGATAATTTTCTAACTCAACGGTTTTTTGAGGAATACTTGTAATTCAAGAAGGATATATTCACTAGAATTCAATCACTTGTGTGCCATCCTTGTAGGAATATGGGCTGTTACAAGAAGCTGCCAAGGTGACGGGAATTGAAACTGAGAATCAATTGAAGACTGGAAATAAAACAGATTTTGATTTAGTTTTTTCTTTTCTGATTTGTTTTCTTTTCTTAATTATAAATTGGAAGGGGGGAATTTATTTATTTATTTATTATTATTATTATTATTTTGGCCACTTTCGAAATTTGTTTCTCTACTACTAATTATGCATCACTTGGTGGTCGAGTTTACTCGTTCCTGCGATTGATGTCTTCTAAAAAATTACTGGGAATCCTGTACAGCTTATAAGATTTGGGATTTAATTTTTCGATTGCAGTAAATAAATTATTTAGTACCATTCATAATTTATGTGCTGCTATTCATGTAATAAGCTTCAAAGCTACTATGCTACAAACTTCATTATCAAGAAAATTCTCATTAACGTTGTTAATAATATGATCTAAGTTAAGTTGCCGTCTGGTAGAAATTTTTTAAAACTCAATTTTCAAATTTATTTTTAACAATACATTTTACATTCTCTCAATAAAATAATTTTGTAAATGAATCCGTATTTTATTCATATTTTTTAATCTTACATTCTTTAATACGATCACTTGTCACAAAATTTTATTCTCAAAAAGTCTACGTCAAATACTTTACATCTCAAATGTCAATTGATTTGAATGGATAATGTATATGTACAAAATTAAATTAATGATTGTACACATTCAATAACTCCATAAGTTAATAATTTTTGGATTAATCAATATTTCGATTTGTTATTAAAATTTATATGTTTAATTGTTTTATACATGTCATAGTCAGCGGTTTCAATGCGCAATTACGGTTTCATTTCATCATTGGTTCCCCTTTTCCAAATTTGCGATCAATTATGCCAAAGACAAATCATAGTTGTCCCCACTTCCCACTAGGCTGGTAAAAGGATTAGGTAACGGGTTAGGTCAGATGTGGTAAAGCATATATTTAGCCGTACAACTTAAAAGTTGCTAAATTTTTTTAATCAAAATCAGCACTTAATTTTAATAACATATTCATCCCCTATTTGATGGAGATTAGAATAAAATTTTTAGAAGATTTTGATAAAAGTTAATGAAATGTGTGATTAAAAAGTTGTGAAACCCATAACATGTGTGGTTAAAATTAATTGTTGACTTTAATTTAAATTAAAATCTAGATTTTAATTGATATCAAACAGGGGCTCAATAAGATCTATAACTTTTTAACTACACAATATTGGTCAGCTAAAGGCAGGCAAAAGAGGAAGTGCCATTTCAATCTGTCGCAGGTCTGAATCATTAATTTATCATAAAAAACGTACTAAAAATCTTATTCTAATTTACACCAAACAAGGATTTAATGTGTAAATAACTCTCTTTGTTTATGCCACGTAATATTAATGAATCATAATTACGAGTTCATATACGAAGCTAGGATTTTTAGCTTGTGGTGGAAATGGCACAATCATGGTGCTAATGTGCCGATATTGCTATGGTGATTTACACTGTTTAAAGCAATCGATTACACAACGACATCTTGTAGAAAGAGTGATATTTGAAGAAAACAATAAAATTAAAATTTTATTGAGAAAACATAAACCTAATCAATTTTGCGTTGATAGTATATCAAATATGTAAATGAAACTAAAAGTTGGGGATTGAAAAGTTCTGCTTAGAGGTTGGGGAAGAATTAGGTATAGAGGCTAAAAGTTGATAACTAATCATTAAAATTTCTTGAAAGAAAAAATTAAGTGAAATATAAAGTGGCATATGGGGTTTGAACCCGAATACCTAATCAAAACTTGATAGTTATATTATTCTCAAGATATTTGTTATATATCGCGTTGGGGCAAACTTATAAAATCCTGGATTTTTCATCATGCAAAAATGAAATTTTAAGCCATCGTGGAGACAGTTGATCAATCACTGAGTTCATCACTTTTCAAGAGAAAAATGAAAGTAAAAAAAGATTGTTGTCTATTTAGCATCAACCACTAACGATGTTAATATAGGTGACAATATTTTGTGATAACCAATGGGTTTATGTCCATATTTCATGAGAATGATATCAATTGGGGACGAATAATAGTATTTTAAATAGAATCTATCATACGTTGACATCTAGATGGATAATTAAACAGTATTAGTGCCAGTAAGCATTATCCTATTTTCAACTATTTATTATGAGTTTAGAAATGATTTACTAAGCAATTAAATTAATTAATGCATTTATTATGATAGTGCAAATCATTTATTATGAATATACCTAGCACCAGCGGTGTCTATTCGCAACTTGCATGACAGTGCAGTTTACAATTGGTGAACAATTATAATTTTTTAACTGATTTTAAACAGTGGATCCCACTGTCATATACGTAGGTGCTAATTGCTAGACATGATTGGTGCTGATAACATAATTTCTTTAATTAAATTAAGGCACCACTAGTATTATTATAAGTCTAAATCGCTCAAGAGTCAATCTTGACTATGCCCATGGAGACTTTCGACCCCACTCTAAGGAGAAAAACTCATGGTGCAACCATCGAACGAGGAGCCATCACCTCATCTGATGGCCCATCTTCGCCTAATGAAGTGAGTCAACCTTGGGACTTAAGGTGGTAAAAGAGAAAAAATCAAGCCGCGAGGTGGCGTCACCTCATTGGATGAGGGTGGGCCACCTGATGAGGTGGTGGCTCCTTGTTCGATGGTCACACCATGTAAGACGGTGTGACGTCCCATCGAAGTTTTTCTCTACTCTAATAGGGCTATAAACTTATGGCTTGGTGATCGAGAGCTCGATCAAAGTTTTGGACTATGTTCTCCCAAATGCAATTCTTCAAGGAAGTCTCAATCTTCAACTCAACCACAAATCGATGTTAATCTACTTATGATCTAAAACTTGAATATGCTATGCCTTTATATAACTCATTAACTAGTGCGATTTTACTCCATAAAATAGTTTTAATTCACAAAGGAAAAAATATTCGACATGATTTAGTCTAACCACTAATTGATATCCTAGATTATCCAAGTCCATTCCATATCCTTTAAGCTTGACCATAAAAGCTGGATTGTTGAACTGTAACACTACTTGATCTCTGAGTGATGAAAAAAGTTCTTTGCATTGTTTTGAAAATTATTTCAATATAGCAGATTCAAGAAGTAGACGTAAGACACCTGGCCAAATTCAACATTACACTTTTAATTCTACAAATTACTATCACAATTTTGTAAAACGGAAAGTAGCTTATAAATTCAAAACACTTTAGTCATAGAGTCTGAATTTAACAGTGCTTGTTTGGTACAAATTTTAAATCAATTAAAATCAATTTTTTGATCGTTATTTCACTATTTCAGCCGTCATTTTTGAATTCTTCTCTCATATGTAGGACCCACTTCATCTCTAATGGTCAAAAAATCAATTATCAAAATCTCTACCAAACAAGCATGACAAGAATTTAATATTAAAGGTTGATTTAACTAGCATGTCATTTTAATGAATTTAGATAACAATGTAATACAATAATATTCAAAAAGATTATGCACCAGTAATTAAATTGAGCAGTGGTATTTCATTCACTTCATATAGATTTAAATTCACTACGATTGTGTTATGATTTCAAGCATTTGATGGATGAAGTTCAATAATCTTACTAAGGCCTTGTTTGGGAGATATTTTTCTCCCATTTTCAACAATTTTTCAATCATTATTGGGTCCCATGTCGACTGCAATATTTGACCGTGGAAAAGTAAATCCCAATAATGTTCAGATCTCACGATGAATGAATTAAATATTAAAGGGTAAAAATGTCTTGCTATTTTAAAAGTGTTCCAAAATTGCAACTCGCCTACATGGATAACAATCAGATTTTGGCTTCAATTTTATCCAAAATCACTCCTAAACAAGGGCTAATTATACAAATAAATTTCACTTAAAACAATTAAATAAATGTTAATCCATAAAAATTATATAAAAAATCGCCTTTCTCGACCAGCTCAATTACCCTCCTAATCCACCCCATTCAAGATCAAACAAAAAGTGGAACTAAACCAATTCTAAATTATCGAACAAATTCTTTCCAATGAGCTACTTTCAGTCTAAAATCAATTTCAAGACAAGGAGATGGACAATTCTAAAGAGGTGTAAATCTATTATATTCCAAGTAACACCTGAATTGGTACACGAGTACCATCTCTTATACGGCAGCTTTCTAATTTCTACAAACATTCGTTGTGCCCTTGATCGAAAATTTTGAGGTGTGAGTCCTTGAAAATAATTTTTTTTTAAAGAATTTATGGCTAAAAATAAAATTAGATCCCATTTGAACCATATTATTGTAAAAATAAAAATAAAAAATATAGTCGTTATGAACCCACATAAATAATAAAAAATCAAATATGATAATTTAATATAATAAATAATGATCATATTTTTTATTTTAATGAGAATATAATAGAGCTCCCGCTAAATACGCCCTTTTTTTTTCCCCTTCCATAATCAAAAGACCGCATGGCTTCATTGCCGGTGGGGCCGGGCAGCATTTGCAAAATCCACCACCGACCATCAATATCATCATTATGGTCCTAACCATGATCTTGACCAAGCTTCAGCTCCACCACGACGACTACCACTATCACCTACCACCGCCGTGAAACTGTCTGCCAACATGGAAACCGACAAGGTACCACTTCGCTGTCGTTTTCTCTATAGATTTCTTGTCATTTTTCTGTGTTTTTTAATGAAATTTTGGACTGGGTTTCTCTTATTTTACCTTAAGATTCATTGTTTGCACCATCTAAGTCTTTGTTGCATTTTATAAGGTTTTACTACTACTTGATTTGAAGTTCTCTTTGAATTTGAGAAATAGCACGTGTTTGTTACTATTATTACTGTATATTCTCTTCCCCCACCCCCCTCTTATTTTCTTGGATCTTTCTTAATGCAGTAAAAGAATATATTTTCGACCAATTATCTTTCTTTAGGTCCAAATATTTGTATTTTGCCCCCTTCTTCTTTTTACGGATTTCTTGCATTTTCTTATTGTGTTTTGTGTAATAGTTAAAGGCAAGCCTTGTTTTTTATGAATATTTTTTGCAGCTACTGTGAGATTTTTTAAGCTCTGTTTATCTCTTGCATAAGTTTTGATATTCTTATTTGTCCTTTCAACTTGTTTACTTTTCTTGGGTAAAGTTTAGCTTCTTTTCTTCAACTTTAGGTAAATTGTGGTTGAATCTGTTGAATGGAGGGTTTGTTTCATGCAGTCGCCTCCTGATGGTCGATTCTCCTTATAATTGCAGTACTGCTTCTATTACAAGTTTTCCGTCATTAAATGCTTTCTTAAAAGTTATAGCTTGCATCTAGCATTGCCTTATTGTTCTAAGCATAGCATATATCTGATTCTAGGGCTTTTTTGGTTTCCTGAATTTTTACATTTCCGAAGGCATGTGATAGGGATATTAGGTTGATGATTCTCTGATTAATATGGTTTACTCGAGCGAGGCTGTCTTTGCCAGTTGAATTACTATAAGTGGAATCATTTTGTTTTATCAATGACACCGTAACTTGAATTTTTACAGGAAATGCCAGATTCTCTAGTCGATAGAAATGGTCCAATAGGTGGTCACTTTATTTCCACTACAATTGGAGGCAAAAATGGCGAGCCCAAGAGAGTTAGTGCCTGGACTTCATCATTTCCATTTTAGTAACTATATGCATGTTCTGAAAATCTGAGTTCCTAAAAGATATTTTAGAATTGTTGAGATGATAATCCTGAAAGTTGATATATTGAGATTTAGTTCCTTTTTACTCTTGGGAATATGAATAATTGATTGCTTCACTAGGCTGTCGGCTCTAAGGGATTTTCATCTTTTTAAATGTTTGCAGACCATTAGTTACATGGCAGAGTGTGTTGTGGGTACAGGTTCATTTGGAATAGTTTTTCAGGTGTGCTTTCTGATTTAGTAGTAATTTTGTTGATTCACAACATATTATAAAATTAATGATTTGCAGTCTCTATTAACTAGGCAAGATGCTTGGAAACTGGAGAAGCTGTGGCCATAAAGAAAGTTTTGCAAGATAAGCGATACAAAAATCGTGAGCTGCAGTTAATGCGCTTGATGGATCATCCAAATGTGATATCTCTGAAGCATTGTTTCTTCTCTACTACAACCAAAGATGAGCTTTTCCTCAATTTGGTCATGGATTATGTCCCTGAGACAATGTACAAGGTCTTAAAGCATTATATTAATTCGAATCAAAGTATGCTGCTCATCTATGTCAAACTCTACACGTATCAGGTTTTATTCGTTGGAATTTGTTTTTCCTTTGTAACTTCTCTAAGTTTGTATAACTCTAATAAAATTATACATCTTTATCAGTTATTTAGAGGGCTTGCTTATATGCACACAGTTCCAGGGGTCTGTCATAGGGATATAAAACCTCAGAATATTTTGGTAAGCCATTTCAACACCACCTCTTCTGGCACCTCCCTTTCCTGTATGCCCTGCTGGATTGAATTGGACTGTTTGGTAAGTTCTTGCAAATCATTACTACTTATTTGTCTGCAGGTTGATCCTCTTACCCACCAGGTCAAGATTTGTGACTTGGGTAGTGCTAAAGTTCTGGTACATTCATATTTTTTATCACTTTTCTTTCTTATTTCCTTAGCTACAGTCACACACTGATGAAATTATGTGGTGGTGTTATTTAAGCTCATTGTTTGATGCTCTGTGCATATTAATTACTCATTTTAATCAGGTGAAGGGTGAAGCAAATATATCATACATTTGCTCCCGTTACTACCGGGCCCCAGAACTCATATTTGGTGCAACAGAATATACAATGTCTATTGATATTTGGTCAGCCGGTTGTGTCCTTGCTGAGCTTCTGTTGGGGCAGGTTTGTGATATACATTCATGAAATTTTCAGAATGGTATTCTTCAATTTCTTACACAAAATAACTTCTTCACAGCCACTGTTTCCTGGAGAAAATGCAGTTGACCAACTTGTGGAAATTATCAAGGCACGTCCTTCATGTTACTCTATATTTTTATAGGTCCATTAAAACCAGTAATGATACAATCATTTACTAAGTTTTAAGTCTTTCTAAGATAGGTTCTTGGTACTCCGACTCGAGAGGAAATTCGATGTATGAATCCAAATTATACTGATTTTAGGTTTCCTCAGATCAAAGCTCATCCCTGGCACAAGGTATGCCAGTTATTATCCACCCGCAAAATGTTGATTTTCTCAGCAGTCTATAATATACAATGCAATTTCTGTTCAGAAGCACATAAGAAGCTCTTTTGTCAGGTTTTTCACAAGCGGATGCCTCCTGTAGCAGTTGATCTCGCTTCACGACTTCTTCAGTATTCACCGAGTCTTCGCTGCACAGCAGTGAGTTTGACTTGCTCTTCCTTTAGAAAATGGATTGCACTATTTGTCCCCAACCTATACAGTGTAACAAGTTTGTCCCCAACCTTTTCTTTGGCATCGCCGCCCCCAGTGTCATATTTAACTAGTCCCAATTAGACAAAAACTGTTCATTTTGCTTTTAACAAAGCAGGTGTAGCTGTGTAGCAATGCATGTGGAAAATAGGTAAATGCAAAAAATTATTTTCTAAAAATATAGGAGAAGCGAATTTTTTTTTAATTTAAATAGTTTTTTTTTTTTTTTTTTTTTGTTTTTGTTTTTGTTTTTTTTTTTTTTGTTTTTTTGTTTTTTTTTTTTTTTTCGCTTTCCTTATTTCTGAACTAACTTGAATAGGATCATCTTTCTGTTTCTAAATTTTAGAGATAGGGTAAACGCAACATTAAGGTTAGAGTTTGTGTTGTTTGGTAAAACTTTGTTTTCCATTTATGATTAAGATTTGAAATTTGAATTGATTCTATGATTTTAAATTTATAACTACCGGCATTAGATAATGACGGAAGTTTAGCCACAATTAGCAAATTACTTGAGTTCTTCCAATATTTGGCAAATATATGTAAATTTTGTATCATGTTTATCATTTGCCTATGCACTGCCCATATATGAACTTGTGATGCTTCCTGGACAGACTGCATTTGCCAATCCATTGTTCATATATTTGCAGATGAACTTGTGATGCATCCTTGACAAACACTGCATTCACTGCATTTGACATTTTTATCTTGTTTAATAATTCCACTTGGTTGTGGTTATCAAGTCATCTGTGTTGATAATTTGCTTAAATATGCAGAATTTCCATTTTAATTTGATATAATCTGAAGCGTATAATTATTGGCTTTTACGACAACGAAAGTAGGGATCCAAAGGTTGCTTTAACAGTAGAATCGGGTTGCATTTGATTATCTAATGGATTTGTGGAGATGTTCTTCATAACCTAGAGCCTTGATTGTTTTCTGCCTGCTGCTTCCAATTTTGTGGTCTATAACTGAAGTCTAGAGCCCGGGATATTTCTTCTTTTATGTCCAATTGTTAGTCAAACCATATCCTTCCATGGTGGTTGGAGATTGGAAAACAAATCTATGACCTGCAACCCACTCTAGCATGTATTTATCTGTTATCTTAACACCAAAATATCCGCATTGCAGTTAGCTGGAACATCGCCCGAGTTGATAAACCGGCTGATACCTGAGCATGTTCGACAGCAAGCTGGTGTGAACTTTCTCCATCCAGCAGGGACGTGATTACATTGGTGCAACCTAATTTGTTGGTGGACATGTAGCAGCAGGAAGGCCCTCTCACTAATATTATGCACATTTTGGCCAGGAGCAGTGGTTTCTGACCACTCGAAATGTTTCGTGGTGACTGCTGGGCTTAACGTGAAAGTCGGTGGAATCTTTCGACATTGTTGTGTTAGCTAAACAAATTTAGATGCTTTTGTACATTGTTGTAGTCAAATGTAAGAGTCCAACTGATCATATTATTCGTGTCTGGTCAGGAAGATTTCTGAACGGAACCGCTGCAGGAGGGCTCAGCATAGTTTTGTGACGTCACTTAAATGACCATCATGTTTGTGCTAACATGTTACCTTCTGAAAGCTAATACAAAATTTACTAATATTTTTTGGTTCTTTCTATTAACTGTAGAAATCTTACATAGGTTGCATATGGAAATTTCTGTTGCAATTTAACTTTCTCAAAATCAAATTTCTAAATGTTTCCAAGTTGCTATTGAACTTTAAAAGTTATTAGAGTTGATGTTGAACCGTCACCCATTGTTTTAAAAGTAAATAGACTTGATGAACTTATTGAATGATTATCTCATCCATCATTGTAATTACCATGCCCAATGAAATTCTCTCAGTTGCAAAATTTTCGGCCCTTATTGTTCAATTTTGCTCATGAATTTGGAAAGATCGTGTGTGTTTTCACTAATATGGACAACATTTGAAAAATGAAAGTCCAGAAAAATAAAATCCTCCCAAAAAATGATACAATTGACCAATAAATAGTGGTGTCAACGAGATGAAACGAGACGAGTCAGCTTGCGAACCCAAGCTTGGGGGTTCAACATTGTCTCATCACAAAAAAAGGCTCGAGCTTTTTGGGTTTGATTCGAGCTTGGAATTGGCTCGTCCCCAAAAAAATGGGGCTTGCCAATAAAGTTATTGATGAGTTCAAACCTTTAGATGGATTGATTTGTAAAAGTTCATTGGGTCTTAGCACTGTATTCATATGGGCCACGGGCCGAAGCTTGCCCAATAAAAGAAATCTATGGGCCTAACTGGGGCTGAAGTGTAGGTTCAACCACTATAATAGGGCCAATCCTATATAATTTATTAAAATGCTGTCTTTGTTAAAAAGAAATTTCAACAGACTACTCGACAGAACTTGTACGTTATAGGGCCTGTAGGCCAGACCTTGAAAAAGCAATCACATCCTATTTGAAGATCAATATTCTTAAATTAGAGCGAATGTTTCATTATTTAAAAATCAAATATTTCATATTTAAATATCTAAAATTATAATACAAATTTAATCACAAACCCTGATTAATTTCCCCTTTCATTTTCTCTCTTTATCCCTCACTTATCTCTTCTCTCACGAAGACGTCACTGTCGTTGTCAATGTGAAGATGCCACCACCATCGCTGTGACCGTTGCGAAGACGCTCACAAACCGTGCTCAAGGCACCATCGCTGGTAAAGTCATCCCTGTCAACATTGAATTTCGGGTTGCACAACGGCTCTTTTTGCTTAGAGCCAGTGCAAAGCAAAGCTGTGTAGCGACGACCAGTGCACAGAGAAGTTGAGATATAGATCTCACCTTTAGCGGTCCAGATCACGGTTGAAATGTTGCAGATCGTGGTAGTGGTGATGATTTTTGTTGTTGTTGGAAGGTGTTGGTGGTTTTCCACGTTTTCATGGTGTTGAAGTTTTAGGGCGGGTTTTGTTGTTGTTGGTGGTCGGGTGACTGTGGCAATGACGGTGAAGTGGATCGCAGCTGCAGTAGTCGCAAATTGCGGTGGTAGTGATATTTCTTTGGCTATTAGATGGGTGTTGGTGATTTTTTGGTGGTGTTGGGGTTTTCATATGGTTTTTGTTGGTGATAGTGCGGTGGCGATGACAAGTCTTTGTTGCATTTTATAAGGTTTTACTACTACTTGATTTGAAGTTCTCTTTGAATTTGAGAAATAGCACGTGTTTGTTACTATTATTACTGTATATTCTCTTCCCCCACCCCCCTCTTATTTTCTTGGATCTTTCTTAATGCAGTAAAAGAATATATTTTCGACCAATTATCTTTCTTTAGGTCCAAATATTTGTATTTTGCCCCCTTCTTCTTTTTACGGATTTCTTGCATTTTCTTATTGTGTTTTGTGTAATAGTTAAAGGCAAGCCTTGTTTTTTATGAATATTTTTTGCAGCTACTGTGAGATTTTTTAAGCTCTGTTTATCTCTTGCATAAGTTTTGATATTCTTATTTGTCCTTTCAACTTGTTGATTGGGGGTGGGGGTGGTTCTAGGGAGGCGATTTTGGTGGCGATGCGTTGGTGATAGTCAGGGGCGGATCCAGAGATTTCGGACTGTGGGGTCAAAAATGAAGGCTTCGCCCTTCGCGGCTGTGCCGTTGTTGTTTGGGAAGAAATTGTTAGATATTTTTCATCATTTTGCATGTATTTATTTTTTTTTGTTTTGCGAATGATTTGTCGTCCCGACTAGTGTTTGTCGTTGTGCAACAGGGATCGACCTGCCCGATCAGGTCGCGGGAGTCGAGGGGGGCAACGCCCCTGAAAGAGAATTTTATTTTCAAAAGTCTTTGAATAGGCGCATCTGTTCGTTTTGACTGCTACTTCCAACATATGTGTTCTTCATTTCAAGGGACATACCTATTCAAATGGTTGCCTCAATTTCTATAAATTCTGAGCGAATTCTCGTTTGCAAAACACATTAAAAAATATTCTTCTCTCTTTCTCTTGGCATCATCAGTTCTTTTTCGAGTGTCTTCTTGGTTTGATCAAATAGTCACAATTTGAATCAAACGTCTCCATTGTATCCTAAGAGAGATTTTCTATCATACCCCAGTCGTGACTTTGTTGGATAAGGAAGAAATATCTCTTAAAAGATAACGTTTTTCGTATCCTGGAGTTCTTTAAATTTTCAGATTTTCCTACATTTTTCTCATCAGAAATCGGTGGGGAGACAATGGAGTGGAGAGTGGATTATGGTCTTAGGCCTATCATCTATGGACTATGGATTAATGGATATGGATAATGGATTGGAGTCATTGGATCATATGGATATGGATGATGGATTCTCGGCATTGGGCTAGCCAGCTAGGAATTAATTGGAACCCCCAAATGTTCATGAATAACTGTTTTAAAATAAAATAAAATAAAAAAACCATGGGGTCATTTGACCCCACATGATCCCATGTGGGTCCGCCCCTGGTGATAGTGGTGAGATGGTCATAATATTTGGTTTATTGTGACCATTAAATTAGTTAATCTGTGATCAGTAAATAATATATGACTAATGATAAAGATAAATTATGACAAAAAATAATGTGTAATCTAAAAGATTGTTAATTTGTGAACTAAAATTTGATAATTTGTGACTCATAGTATTTGTGATTTGTGATCAATAAATAAATTGTAATTTATAAAATTTTGATTTGTGATCGATAAATAAATTATGACCTATAAAATTTTTAAATAGTGATTATAAAATAATTTGTGACATGTAAAAATTCTGATTTGTGAAATATATGACTAATTAAATCGTTAATTTGTGACCAATTGTATGGATTTGTGACTTTAATATATTTAATTAATAAAATATATAACTAATTAATTAAATCATAAGTAAATTTTAATTAATATCTTATTATTGAAATTTAAAACTTTTATTTATAATTTTGAAATGAGTGATATTTAATTTGTATGTCTGAATTTTTTGTCCTGGAAAATTGGATGACCCTGACTAGACCATATCAATGGGCCGGACCAGTGGGGCCCATTAACATCCCTAATTCACAGGGATAAAACTGACATTTCAATATCCAAGCAAAACGCATAAGAAACCCTGGCTCCTATCTAATATTATACTTGTTGGGGCTTTGTCACTTCATCATATTCCCCAGTCGTCCGGCGGCCGAGAACCTCATCACA